GTATCACATTTATTGATTTGTGAATATGTACCAGCCTTGTATCCATGGAATAAATCCCACTTGATCATGGTGCATGATCTTTTTAATATATTGCTGAATGTGGTTTGCTAATATTTTTGTTGAGAATTTTAGTATCTATGTTCATCAGGGATATTGGCCTATAATTCTTTCTTTGTAGTGTCTTTATCTGATTTTAGAATTAGGACAATGCTGGCCTCATAAAAAGAGTCTGGAAGTGTTCATTCCTCTTGGATTTTCTGAAATAGTTTGAGGAGTATAGGTGTTAGTTCTTCTTTGAATGTTTGGAAAATCTCCCCTGTGAAACCGTCCAGACCTGGGCTTTTGTTTGGTGGGAATTGGGTTTTTGTTTGTTTGTTTTATTTTTTATATTTTATTGATTTTTTACAGAGAGGAAGGGAGAGAGATAGAGAGTTAGAAACATCGATTAGAGAGAAACATCGATCAGCTGCCTCCTGCACATCTCCTACTGGGGATGTGTCCGCAACCCAGGTACATGCCCTTGACCGGAATCGAACCTAGAACCCTTCAGTCCGCAGGCCGACGCTCTATTCACTGAGCCAAACCGGTTTTGGCGGGAATTGTTTTATTACTGCTTCTATTTCATTGATTGTTATCAGCCTATTCAGGTTTTATGATTCTTCCTGATTCAGTTTTGGGAGATTGTATTTTTCTATGTCATCCACATTGCCAAGCTTGTTAGCATATAGTTATTCATAGTATATTCTTACAATGCTTTGTATTTCTGAAGTGTTTGTGATTACTTCTCCACTTTCGTTTCTGATTTTATTTATTTGGGTCCTCTTTGTTTCTGGCTAATGGTTTATCAATTTTGTTTATCCTTTCAAAGAACCAACTCTTGGTTTCATTGACTTTTTTTTGTATTATTTTTTTTTAGTCCCTATGGTATTTATTTCTGCTCTAATCTTTATTATTTCCTTCCTTCTACTTACTCTGAGCTTTTCTTGTTGTTCTCTTTCTAGTTAAATTGTAGGGTTAGATAGTTTATTTCTGATTTTTCTTGTTTTTTGAGGTATGCCTGTAGTGCTATGAACTTCCCTCTCTGGACTACTTTTGCTGTGTCCCATAGATTTGGGGTTGTTGTATGTTCATTTTCATGTTTCCAGGAAGTTTTTTATTTCTTCTTGATCTCATTGGTAACCCATTCATGGTTTAATATGCCATTTAGCCTCCATGTGTTTGAATGTTTTGGGTTTTTTACTGTAGTTGATTTCTAATTTCATAACACTGTGATTTGAGAAAGTGGTTGATATGATTTCAGTCTTCCTGAACTTGTAGAGACTTGTTTTGTGCCCTAACATGTGGTCTGTTTTTATGAATGATCCATGTGCACTTGAGAAGAATGTATATTCTGCTGCGTTGGGGTGAAATGTTCTATAAATGTCTATTAGATCCATCTGATACATTGTGTCCTTTAGAGTCTCTGTTTCCTTGTTAAATTTTTGTCTGGGAGTTCTGTCCAGTGATGTCAGAGGGGTGTTAACGTCCCCTACTATGACTGTATTGTTGTCAATCTCTTTGGTAAAGTCCTCTAGAAGTTTTTTTATATAGTTAGGTGCACCTATATTGGGTGCATATATGTTTACCAGGGTTATATCCTCTTGTTGGATCAATCCCTTTAGGATTATGTAGTGACCTTTGTTGTCTCTTGTGATGGCCTTCACTTTAAAGTCTATTTTGTCAGATATGAGTATCGCTACTCCAGCTTTTTCTTTTCCACTTGCATGGAAAATTTTTTTCCATCCCTTCACTTTCATCCTGTGTGTGTCTTTGTTTTGAGGTGGGTCTCTTATAGACAGCATGTACTTGGGTCATGTTTTTGTATCCATTCAGTTACCCTACCCCTTTTTATTGGAGCATTTAATCCATTTACATTTAGGGTTATTATTGAGAAGAACTTATTTATAGCCATTTTAATTCTGTATGACTAGGTTCTCTCTCTGCTTCTTCTTCACAGCAATCCCTTACAGCAATACCTTTAGCATTTCTTGTAATCCTGGCTTGGTGGTGATGAACTCCTTTAAGTTCTTTTTGTCTGGGAAACTCTTTGACTGTCTATTTTGAATGATAGCCTCCTGGATATAGTAATTTTGGTCTCAGATCCCTGCTTTCCATCACCTTGAGTACTTCATGCCATTCCCTTCTGACCTGTAGAGATTCTGATGAGAAATCAGGTGTCAGCCTTATGGGAATTCCTTTGTAGGTAACAGATTTATTTTCTCTTTCTGCCTTTTAGATTCTCTCTTTATCTTTAATTTCTTGCAGTTTAATTATGATGTGTCTGAGCATGGTTCTATTTGTGTTCTTCTTGTTTGGGGTTCTCTGTGCCTCCTGAACTTGTGTAACTTTTTCCATTACTGGGTTAGGAAAGTTTTCTGCCATTATTTCTTCAAAATCCTTCTCTATTCCTTTCTCCCTTTCTGCCTCTTCTGGCAGACCTGCTATTCTAATATTACTATGTTTCATATTGTCCCACAGCTCCCTTAAGCTATCCTCATGTTTTTTTAATTGTTTTTTCTTTTTGGTTCTCTGATTGAGTGATATTTTCAATTTTGTCTTCTAATTCACTGATTCAATCCTCAGCTTCCCCCAATCTGCTGTGTATTCCTTCCAATGTATTTATCTG